TCAGTAGTTAGTACTCATGTCTCCCATGACTGTCAGTAGTTAGTACTCATGTCTCCCATGACCATCAGTAGTTAGTACTCGTCTCCCGTGACCATCAGTAGTTAGTACTCATGTCTTCCATGACCATCAGTAGTTAGTATTCATGTCTCCCATGACCATTAGTAGTTAGTACTCATGTCTCCCATGGCCATCAGTAGTTAGTACTCATGTCTCCCATGACCATCAGTAGTTAGTACTCATGTCTCCCATGACCATCAGTAGTTAGTATTCATGTCTCCCATGACCATCAGTAGTTAGTACTCATGTCTCCCATGACTGTCAGTAGTTAGGACTTATCTCTCCCATGACCATCAGGCAGTAGTGATACTTGACTACCTATTGTTGCCTGATCGGATTTCCCTGTTTCAATGCTTTCCTAATTTCCTGTTGCTTTTCCACATGGTTTTTAAAGGGTACTTTCTATTTCTATGTCTTAACTAGGTTGACAGATTTTTTTTTTTTAATTTTCTTCCCATGGTAGTTTCATTTAAAATGAAGGGAAAGCATACCTATTCGGCTAATATGGTGAAACGAAATGATTTGGAATGGCTGATAACTGTCATCAAGGTGTACCTTGTAGCACAGATCTTGGCTTTGGTGTTATGGAGGCCCAAACTGTTCGACTGTAATAATGGGTCTTATGGATGATGCTGGTGCAGCTGTTAATTTAGAAGAAGCATGGTGTGTCTTGTATTTGGATTCTATGCCATGGATAGTAAAAATCATTTACAAATTCCTGCGTATGACCTGTCTCTCAAATAAGTCTTAAGTATTTCCTTATGTCATCAATGGAAGACATTGGACAGAAGGTGTGGCAACCAACTATTCAACCTAGTGACCTTTTGGTTGAAAACAGTGGCTGTATGAGCTTTCCTGCTGATAGTATTTTTTTAAAACCTTTCGCAGCTTACTGTATTGACTTGATCTTTTGATGTGGCTGTAAGATGTATTTCTTCACTTGGTGTATATCTAGTAATCTTTTGTTCTCAGTATTAGGTACTGTATATTAAGGTGGTAGTACTTACATGGAAATTTATTTGTGGTTAAGAAAAAGTAGTTTTAACAGTGGGATTTCTTTGTTTCACTTGCTCAACCAGTGGGATTTCCCCTATGGTAGGCTCTGTGGTTTTGTAGCTCTTAAAACATGCCAGAGTTCTCCAAGGAAGAAGCAGTGTTTTACGTGTTTTATGATACTCGTGTATACTGAGAGGCCTTTTTTTAAAACAGAGAAACATATGTTTAGTGAGTTCGTTTTTCTTTAAGTACACATGGCTCTTCAGACTGGAATCTATTGAAACAGGACTCCCATTTGAAAAGCAAAGAGCCAAGGCTACAACACAGAAGTGATCTAGTGATTAGCCAGAGGCTAATAGAAATGCTGGAAAGAATGACAGATTGTATATGAAAAAGAAATATAATCTCCCAGTCATTGTAGCTTTTTTACAATTAAAGATCAAAAAAATAGAAAATTACTGGAAGAGATGAGTGTCTGAAACTTTAGAAATGCGCACAGTGTCGGATTATCCCCGCAAAGGGCTGATGAGCAGATAATAAAAGTTCTGGGTCGGAAGTCTGCGCTCTTTGTTTTGAATGTGCTCTCGGCTCTTTACCCCTCCTCCTCTCAGGATACTACAGTTAAGTAGTTTCTAAGCCGTTTTAGAAAACTGGAGTCTGTTTCTTCTGCATCTTATCATGTCGTACAGTTCTTTGGGAAACAAAATGATGTGACAGCTCCAATATTTGAGTGGAAGAGGTCAGCGCTGACCCCTCTCCCTCCTGTGCCCAGCTGTTCTGCCGGCGTTTTCCTTCTGAGAGAACAGAGCAAGGCAGAAGACTTTTCCACATCCAGTTGCTTGTAGAAGCTGCAGCTAAGGGCTCGTAGGCATGTCTTGGTGGCTCCTGGTGAGCAGCCTTGTTTCTTCTGGAGGAAAAGAAATAGTCTGAGATTACAAAGTATGGGTACATGTTTTCATTGCAGAAAAGTGATTGTTACTTACCTGTTCTAAATTCAACTTTACCATGGGTACCTGTTATTTTACCAAAAAAAAAAAAAAAAAAAAAATTGACTGTTTGTGCATGTGGTAATCGTGCCTTCTGCAAACTAACATGTCTCATTTTTCTCCAAAGTTAAATCATCACAGCGTTTTAACCGCAGAGTTCAGCGGCTTTCCACCAGCTTGACTGAGAAATGCACACTGTTCTTAAACTGTGCGCCTTTTCGTCCAACTTCCTCCAGCTTTCATTGTTCAGACCTGGCATTCAGTGGTGTTCTTAGTTTTTATAAGTCCAAGGAGAAAGTGGAATGTTTCCTGAAAGATAAATAAGTAATAAAAGCAGTATGCACGTAGAATACATGCTTCATTCTTCAAGGGTCCCCCCCCCCTTTGGCTCTGAGAGAGAGAGAGAGAATGTGTGTGTGTTCTGTCCATCTCTGGGGAAAATACTGTTACACTGAAGATCTGACTCCAAATCAGCTGGGTTTCCATAGAGCTGAGTATTTAAGCTTCCGCTTCTGTATTTGCCTAAATGAGTTCTATATTCCACAACCATATTTACGATGGGAGGCTTGTGAATTATTTGTGTTTGTGTGAGCACAGGTACCTGTGGAGGACAGGGAGGGGATCCGATCCCCTGGAGCTGGATTGAGGGGCACTTGTGTGCTGCCCCACAGTGGAGCCAAGCACTGAGCATCTCTCCAGCCCCAGAATGTGCTTTAATGACTACGTGACGAGTGGTTCATTATTAAGTGATATAAAAGCTAACTATTTCTCATATGCTAGCAGATGAAATCTGGGTGGCAGTGCTGGCTTTGGTTTCTGTTTTATTGTTGTTGTTGTTTTGTTTTGTTTTTGTTTTTTTCCGAAACAGGGTTTCTCTGTGTAGCTCTCATCCTAGAACTCGATTGGTAAACCAGGCTGGCCTTGAACTCACAGAGATCTGCCTACCTCTGCCTCCCGAGTGCTGGGATTAAAGGTGTGCACCATCATTGCCTGGCCCTTAAAGTTTTTATGTTTATTACTAAATTGACATCTTGTACAGTGAACAGATGAGACAATGTGAAAGAGTTTTTGCAAAACTTGAAACAATTTTATAAATACCCTATTACAAAATCCCTTTTTTCTTTTATACTTGGATTTGCAATATAAACAAAGGTTATGTGATAAACTTACAGTTCTTCTCTGCAGAGTCACTTACCTTCATTTCTGCCATGTGTGTGTTTGGGTTAATTCATTATGGGTTATCTTCTACATGGTGCTCTCGATCCAGTGGACGTCTGTGCTTCTGAACAGATGACTCTTTGAATGGTTAAAACTCTAACAGGAATTCTTTTTGTTCCTTTTGCAGCTATGTCTTCTTATCTTTTAATTATTAAAACAGAGCTTCCTGCTGCTATTGCAGAATTTTTGCCTGGAGACCACAGTGGGTAAGAAGAAATGTTCCAATATATCCATTCATCCATCCATCCTTTCATTCATTCATTTATTCATTATGTTTTTAGTAAACCTTAGTGGCAAGGGAAACAAACGTAGTCATGTACAGGTTTTGTGGGGTGGAACAGCAGTGGAGAAAACACTGTGGACACGTCCCACGTCCACGGGCAATCTGCTCTGCCAGAGCTCTGGGCTGCCAACCACCGGAGCTCCGGGCCCGTGTGCTCCTAAAGGCAAGGCAAGTCCAGGTTAGCTCTCAGAGGAAAGTGAAGGAGCGCGCATCTAAGGACAGGAAAGTGGAGACTGGTGGGAAGGCCTCAGGGTGTCTGAGTTGAAGGGACAGGGAGTCATCTTTGCTGTCACTTCTCAGCAAGTTGTTGGGACAAATGATGGTGGTAGCCACTGTGTGGGACTCGTGTTAGGCAGCTTGAAGAATGGTGGACGAGAACCTGTTTCCCTTCGCCTTTTTAATATTATGAAGAATACCGACCACAGCATACTTCCTTCCTCATTTAAAAACACAGACTCCTACAGAATACATTGACTTAGCTCTTATTATGGAGAAGGGACCCAAGTTAATTATGCTTTTCTTTTTGATATGTAGAGCAAGAAGCAAGACTCCCCTTTTCTCATAAAAAATAAACTTGAAAATAAGAATAAACTTGGGTTAAGCTTAATTCTCCAGTTACTATACCCAGTTTTCAAACCACAGCACAGGACTGCCCTGTCTGGGACTGGAGTATTGGGCTGCTTTTCCCCAGTAACCAGACTTACCTGGAATGCAGAGGAAAACTTGAGAATTTAGTTTTAGCTTGGAGAAGTCGGCTTCTCTCAGAGCAGTAGACAGGTGCAGCTGCGTGTGTGTGTGAGGAGCACGCGGTTACTCTCCATCTAGATAGGAGCCGTGAAGGAACGATTAAAGCAGGCTCGAGAAGTCAGTCACGATCTTCATCCCCAGAAGACGGCCCTCTCACGGCACGTCATAGCTCACTGGAGGCCCATAGCATGCTCACCCCTGCCTCAACCTACTGTCAGCTTTACCTGGGTGCATTTTGATTATGTTCTGACAGCAAACCACACTAAGAAGTACCTGTGTGAAATACACTTTTTTGTCTATGCTGTAAAAATAGTAAGAACCACTTTGGCTACTTGAATTCTAAGTGAGAAATTCGCACATGGAGCTAAGAACTCAAGGCAGTGTGATGGAGAATAGAAAGAAAACACGTCCTATTCATTTCATGCTAGTTAGCCTCAAGTATCTAACTTTTGACCTTCTAACTTGTCATGGGCTGTAGGTTTCTTTACCTGGTGCTGTGAGGGTACCAATGAGGGCTGGGAATGTGGCTCCCAGACACAGTGCTCACCTAGCATGCCCAAAGCCCTGGGTTCAATTCTCAGTACCAGAAAAAAGCAAAAACAGACAAGCATTCTGAAAGGGCTCAGTGGTTAAGAGCACCAACCGCTCTTCCAGAGGTCCTGAGTTCAATTCCCAGCACCTGCATGGCAGCTCACAACTGTCTGTAACCCCAGTTCCAGAGGAAATACTACCCTCCCATAGACAGACAAAGGCAAAGCAACAATGCATATAAAATAATAAATTAATAAATCATTAAAAAAAGAAAGGAGGGTTCTGGGTGGAGGTAGCTTGCCTCTTTTAGTCACTCAGGAGGAAGAGGCAGGCAGATCTCTGTGGGCTGGAAGCCAGCCTGGTGTACAAAGCTGTTACACAGAGAAACCCTGTCTCAAAAAAACCAAACAAAGCAGATGGCACCAATGACTTTACCTCTGTTTAGGTGCTTTCTTAACAGAGTTCTGATGACCGAATGAGATGGCACACATGTATATGCTTATAAGTAGCTAGTACAGTGTAAATGTGGAGAACAGGGAAATTCCAAGAGCAATGATTATATTAAAGGTAAACTTTCCTTTTTTATGCAGATTGCCAGGAAGCTCGGAGTCAAACACAAATGGACTCTGATCATCCTAATGGTTGTCGTATGTCACCGGAGTTTGTCTTTGTTTGGTTCTGAATTTGGTGACTTCTAGTAACATGCTTTCAGTCACTGTAGAAATAGTTACCATGAAGCAGAACGCTAGTAAAACGGAGATGTTTTGTCTGCTAAAGCATTGCTCACTGAAATCCAGTGCCACGTCTCTTGTTTTAAACAACTGAAATGAACTCCTATTTCAATTGTCTTAGTAAAACTTGTATATAATGTTCTGTTTCTGTCACAAATGCATGCTTTGATGCATTCACCCATTTTTCACCCACAGTGTGCTACAGTCACACATTTTTGATAACTCATACTGTTTTACATGTAGTATATTCATTTCTGAAGAGACTGTATTAATTGGCTATAGAGCGTGAGTCTTTAAAGCCTAACCTTGTAAAGTCAAAAACAAATGTTATAGTGAGGAATGTTGCTTTGGAGCAGTTTATTTCTCAGTGGTGTTGGGTGGCAGTATTTCTTCACTGAAATCACGTGGTGTTGATGTTTTACTTTAGGGTTTAGTTTACCATAAGTTTCAGTTCTTTTTTTTTTTTTTTTTTTTGGTTTTTCGAGACAGGGTTTCTCTGTGGAGTTTTTCGTCTTTCCTGGAACTTGCTCTGTAGACCAGGCTGGCCTCAAACTCACAGAGATGAGCCTGCCTCTTCCTCCCAAGTGCTGGGATTAAAGGCGTGCGCCACCGCCGCCGCCACCACCCGGCATTCAGTTAAGATCGTTCAAGTGTCTTTGTTTTCTGGGTTATCTGTGAGGATAAGATATCTTTATGAACTATAACCCTTTATGAAGATGCTGTCAAATCACTGTGTTCATTATATTCTAATTTCCAAAGTTACTATTAGAAAATGCAGATCAGTGATACTTATACCAAACTCTTATGATACATCTATATTTTTCCCAGACTAACTTACATACTTTTTAAATCTATAGCTGTTAAAAGTTGGGAGCTCTCTGTTAACATTTAATGGTCTTGTCAGGGGACTGTGATTGACACAATTAAGTTGTCTTGCATTTGAGTTACATAATTGATATGGGATGTGAGCAAGATCCTAATTGAGAACATACGATACTCTTGTTCCATTCTATTCGAGAATGAAATTAAAGCAACTTATAAATAAATCTGGTTTTCATTTAAAAATGGAAAAAACATCTGCGTGCCAAGCATTTGCAATACAGCTAAGGATTTATACTCTGTGTTTCTTAGTTGGAGCATTTTTATCATATAGGATTAAATCCACAGATCAAACAAGTTTTCTAGGAAGTATAAAACTTTTTACTCTAATTCTTTTGGCTTAAAGAGAATGTATATTTAGGTCACAGTAGGAAAACAGGAGTTTGGTTAGGTAATTCTTTTTCCTCTCTTAGAAAAAAATGGAAGTGCAGTAAATTTTCCCAAAATCTTGGTTTATTAAATGATTGTATTTACTGCATACTTTCAGACTGCTTATTGCTGGCTTGTAGTCTCTGGGCTTGGGTTTCATCGCATCTGCTCTTTGGACTATCTCCATTGCTAAACCCGATGCAATTGTCTGGGACATGCATGTGCAGTTCACTCATTCCACTGGGAGTAGCTGTTGATAATGAATGATAAAGAAACCGCTGTCTTAATGATTGGTTTTTATTAACAGCAGTCAATAAATATAAGAAACGATTGATAACCAGTCTCCAGACCTAGAGAAACTCAGTTTTAAAACACAGGCCTTTACATATTAAGATTTTAAGTTCAGTCCTAAGGAGAAAAGTGTGACCTTGAAATAGATGAAGGACATCTGAAAAATGCTGTAAGCTCTGAGTAGTAGCTGGCTCCGAGTGTTTGCATTGCTACTGTCTCGAGCCCATGGTCCTTTACGGCTTCTGCAGACACATGAAATGAGGATGCTGACCAGGCTGATTCTTGAGCCCCCTCCAGTCCAAGCATTCCCTAGCTCTGTGAGTCTGATGCCTGCACACCCTCAGTCAGGGCTCTGTCGGGCACGCCGCTCTAAGATGTGCACCAGTTCCACCTTCAGGTCACACGGAACAGTCCTACCTCAGGATTTTAGTGTTTCTTTAGTCCGATACAGGGGCCAGGTTGTGGTCCTGTGGCTTAACACACACCCTTTTATACAACTCCACCCTCATTGTGTTTTGTTTTTCCTCTTTAAAAGTCGGTTTGGGCCAGATGGTGGTGGCACACGCCTTTATTCCCAGCACTTGGGAGGCAGGTGTAGGTGGATCTCCAAGTTAGAGGCCAGCCTGGTCTACAGAGCAAGTTCCAGGACAGCCAGGGCTACACAGAGAAACCTCATCTCAAAAAAAGAAAAAGAAAAAGAAAAAGAAAAGAAAGGAAGGGAGAGAGAGAGAGAGAGAGAGAGAGA